CATTACACCCCTCTACTTTCCGCCCTCACTTCCTGCCCTCATTTCATCTATTCTAGATGAATATTTTTTATATTTAAAAAAAATAACACATTTTTTTTGACAAATTTTATAATACCTTCTTAATAACAAACAATAAAAAACAACAATGAACTAAAATACAACAAACTACTTATTGATATTTATTATTCGCGAATTTAATATCCGGCTTTATCTGACATTTATTTATATTGATGACAGTTGTTAACCCCGTAATCACAGTAACAATATATTTACTTGATTATTATGAGAAAACCGCGCGCTTGGTAATTTGTCGTTAAATGTAATATTTTAGGTATGTTCAGAAAGAAACAGAGATTTGTTAACTTTAATAATAATAATAATAATAATAATAAATGTCTTTATTATTTTCATTTTGAATATACAGAATATTTACAAAATTACATATATATCAATTCGCTACATTTTATGCAAAATGAGAAATAAAGGGCGAAGTTCAATTCATGTGATGCAACTCACCACTGAATTGCTCTTCCACTTAACCCAAAACAATAAAAAAAATAAAATTATATTATATTTATAAATATATCGCTTGAACAGTTCATAACACAGAAAAGAAAAATAAATAAAAAAAAAGAAATTAGAAAGACATGAGATATACCTATTAAACACTATCTGAGCATTTACAACTATGCAGCATATAACACATTTCTATATGATTTCTTGAATTTTTCATGACTGACAGATTTTAGTGAATTTGGAACATTATTATAAATTGCACATACATTATAAGAGAAACATCGTCTAAACAGCTCTAACCTAAATGGTGGTGGAGACAGTATACCTTTATGTCTTATATTTAAATTGTGCACGTCAGTTCGATAAGTGATTTTCCTGTACAAATATAATGGAGTTTTATTAACAATAATTTTGTGAAATGTACTTGCAGCATGAAGTGTTCTTCTATTGTACATGTTAAGCCATCCTATTTCCTTTAATTTGTGAGAAATAGGCAGTCTTCTTCGAATACCGAAAATTAAGCGAAGACAAGAGTTTTGTACCTTTTGAATTTTTTGTTTATATTGGCTGGTTAAGCATGGCCCATACAGGACATCTGCATAATTAAAGATCGAGAGAATAAGACTTTCACATAAAAGCTTCTTGATATCAGAAGATAAGAACTGCCTATTTCCATATATCAATTTGATTGTTGAGTATGCACGCCCAATTAAGTTATTTATATGTTTTTCAAATCGCAAATCAGCATCTAAAACTACACCAAGACTTTTAACATGATTTACTAATTCAAGACGCTCGTTATTAACTAATATGTTTACATTCTCTAATACAGAATCGCGTTTATATCTAGTACCAAAGACAATAACATTAGATTTGCTACAATTTATTTTCAAACAGTGGTCAGAAGCTGATTTTACAAATAATTCAAGGTCTCTATTTATACAAGCACATGCATCATCTACTTTATTGGGGTCAAAACTGTAGTAAAGTTGAGTGTCATCCGCATACAAGTGAGCATTACAGCTTTGAAGGCATTTTAAAATATTGGATGTATACAGAGCAAAGAGTAAGGGACCTAAAATAGAACCCTGGGGTACACCACATTGGAGATCTAAGTAAGGAGAAGACTGACCATTGATCGTAACTAGCTGTTGTCGATTTGTAAGGTATGAATTCAAAAGAGACACTGCATTCTGGGAAAGACCTAAATTATTTAGAATAGATGACATTAATTTATAGTTAAGAGTGTCAAATGCCCTACTAAAATCTAGTAGGACCAAAACTGTGCAATGACCCTTATCCAGAGATTTAATAATATCATCCACCACATGGAGTAAAGCAGTTGTGCAGCTATAGCCTTTACGAAAACCTGATTGAGTTACAGGTAACAAAGAGTAGGCGTCAATATGTTTCCTAAGTTGCACTTCTATAGCTTTCTCTAAGATTTTAGATAATGTTGGCAACATGCTAATAGGTCGAAGATCTTTATACTCTCGAGGATCTGATTTTTTTGGCAACACCTTCACCACCGCTCTCCTCCATGAAAGCGGAAAAATATTATTAGTTAGGCAAAAATTAATAATATGCGTAATATATTGAACAATGTGTGGACAACAATATCGAATTAGTCTTATACTTATTCCATCACCCCCCGTAGCATTAGTCTTTATCTCTGCAATAGCTCGCGAAACAAATAAATCGTTTATTTCAGTAAAATTGAATTTAGAATCTATTCTACTATTATTATTATTATTATAAAATAAGGTTAAATATTCAGGGGGTTGAGATCCAGCAACAGAATTTATAAGATAGTTATTAATATCAACAGGGTTATTAAGACGATCAGGAATGGAGTACTCTTTAACAGGCAAGACTCTATATGTTTTCAGTGATTTCCAAAATTGTTTAGAATTTTTATTATTAAACTCAAATGTAAAGAAAGCTTTTTTCTCCCGTTTTATAGCACTGTTTGTGTAATTTCGCATATCTTTATAAAATTGGAAATGGGCATCTGACTTAGTGTTTTTATACCTTTTAAAGGCTTTATCTCTAATATCCATCATTTCCCTTATTGCACCGGTAAGCCAGGGAGCTCGCGGCTTAGTTATCCGTGCTGTCACTAGTGGCATATGTCTATCAAACAAATTATTCAAACAGTTTACCAAAAAATTAAGTTTTTCATCTATCCCCTCTTGATCATATATTCTAAAAAAAGGCATATTATACAAGTCTCGCAGAAAGTCGTTTTCATTAAAAAACTTAAAATTCCTATAAGTTACTGTTTTCGGTCCCTCTTTCTCCAAATAAACTTTTAATTTGCAATAAGCAATATCATGATCAGCAATAATACCTGTTACTGGGATGACACCCTTCTCCACTAGCCAATCTTTAGATGTCACAATACCATTTAAAAGTGTGGCTGTTGTATCTGTTATTCGTGTTGGGGTATCAAGAACTTGATAGAGCCCAAAACATTGAAGAATAGTTAACAATTTATCTACTGTAGTATTTTCAAAATTTAAAAAATCTATATTAAAGTCACCTCCACAAATTACTTTATCAAAACTTGGACATAGCGTACTAAGTATGTCCTCCATTTCATCAATGAATGAGTTAGAATTCACCGTAGGGGGCTTGTATACAGCACCTAAAGCAATAGTTATATTTTTAATTTTAAGCTTCACCCAAAGTTGCTCAGAAAATTTTCCGCTACAGTTTAATTTAGTACTATTTATGTTACTTTTGACGTAAATACACAAGCCTCCCCCGGCAGATCCTCGATCTAACCTGTATAAAGTATATCCTTCTAATCTAACTAACTCATTTGAATATATTTTCTTAAGCCAGGTTTCACATATAATAAAAATATCAAAAGAGTGTTCCGCAACAATCAATTGCACATCATGCATAGAAATATGATGGTTGTAAATAAAATAGTATACAAACATCGGTAGGAAGTTTCATTCCTGTCTCGAGATCATAGGTAACCTTGACGCTTCGCGTCTCGGTGACCTAACTAATCTCACGAAAGGAATGAAACTCTTCCTACCTCGGTGTGTAATATACTATTTTTTATATTTTAGAAACATGCCCGAAGTTGCTAAAAATTCATCGTACTTAAAAAAATATACAAAAGAAGATATAGAAAAAGCTGTCAGAGCAGTTAGAAATGGAGTTTCTAAAAAAATCCGCAAAATCTACGGAGTTCCAAGAACCACGATTATTTTTCATTTGAGTGAGAAGTTTCTTAAAACTAGCCATGGCCCAAAACCTGTCTTAAATAACGAAGAGGAACAAACTTTGGTATCCTGGATTTTATCATGTAAGCGAAAAGGTTTTTTTTGTCGCTAGGAAGATGAAGTTTACAGCGTAAAGGCGTTTTCAGACGGTACCAAGAAATAATCCGTTTAAAGACAATACTTTCGACATAGGATGGTACCATGCCTTTCTAAAACGGCACCTTATATTATCAGAACGAACTTCTAAAGGTATCACTAGTGCCAGTTCTAATGTTAGCAATAAAGACATTAAGGGATGGTTTGGAACAATTGAAATATATATATAAAGGAAGAAAATTATACAGATATATTAAATGATTGTACAAAAAAATATAATGGGGACGAAACTAACTTCCAATTATGCCCTAATGGCAAAAAAGTGTTAGCGTTAAAAGGATCTCGTAATGTATACGAGGTAGACATAGGAAAAACAAAATCCACAATAATAGTGATGTTTACATTTGGAGCCAATGGAACAGTGACTTCTCCAATGATCATTTACCCGAATAAAAGGAGAATGTTGGATATAGCCGAACGAATTCCAACGGACTGGGGATATGGGATTAGTGTTAATGGATGGATGAAAGCAGAACTTTTTTCAGAATATCTTTCGTTAATTCTACACCCTGCCTTGAATAAAAGAAATGTTGTTTTCCCAATAATTTTATTCGTCGATGGCCACATCACCCACTTAATATATGATGTCAGCGTCCTTTGCAGAAGACTAAATCATTCTGATCGCATTGTATCCCAATGCGACAAGAATACTGCAGCCTGCAGATATTTCAGCCTTTAAATCACTAAAAGAGGGATGGAAAAAAAGATGTATTGAAATGGCGCAAATAAAATCCGTTTAAAGCTTTAAATAAGGAGAAATTTGCTCCAATAAAGTAGTGATTAAAAGATCTTTAAAAGCAGCATAAATCCTGGATTTCGAGCCACAGGTATCTTTCCTTAGAACCGAGATGCTATAGATGTTAGAAAATGCTTGGGACGCATTAATCATAATCAACTTAAAATATCTGATGACAAAATAAATGTGAATCAACAGGTAGATAATACTCTGAGCTATCAACATTTTTTCAGCATTATAGGAGAGGCTGTGATAAGTGAACTTAAAAATAGTTCAGATTACAATAACAACGTCTACTTTAAAACATATTCTTGATTCACAAGCAGAACAATATGTTAATGAAAATAACATAGGAGCAACTCGCTCTGATACAGAGTATGTTCCCAGTAATATAAATTTGAACACTATTAATAAAAATTTAGCAACCCAACAAAATCAGGAGTTAGTTAATACTCAAATGAGTTCAATGTTTTATAGAGAGAATAACGAAGAACTACAGAAAACTGTATTATTAGATGTTCAAAATAAGGAAAATATATTGAAAAAAGAATATTATTACATTGACGAAAATTTTGATTTAAAACCAATTGATAGTCAAACTGATTTTAATCCTTTGCAGGAGTTTGCAAACGTAAATATATCACAAAAAAAATGTGACCCAACTGACGACAATTTATCCGCGTATGATGCTTCTAACAATATTTCTTTGAAAAGAACTTTAATTTCGCCACTAACGCCAGAGAGAAAATATATAAAACCGAAAACTAAGAGAACTTCGTTAATTATTAATTAATTATTTCTACAGGTTTTGTTAACTGGCACCTACAAAAACAAGAAGAAAAAAGAAAGAAACAAATGGAAGTAGAAGAGAGAAAAGAAGAGAGGAAGAGGAAAAAATAGGAAACAACTAAATAAATATAACTGAACTAAAAAGCAAAGGAAACAAAAAGGATTTAGAAGCCCGTTTTGTAAGCCACATTCAATGGTTCGGTCTGTCAAATCGCTTGGTAGGTGCACTATCGTTCCTATAGGCATATCTTATGGTTTCTACAATAGAATCGTTTTTAATATAAAGGTCATAATCACTGTTAGAAGAAACTTACCAAAAATAACCACCGTAACAATTAAATTTTTTAATTATTGCTTATCACAGCCTGCCTGGTTAAATTTAATGGCAACTTTTCTCACATGGTATTTCATAATGTTCATGGTAGGTATAATTCATAACGTTTACTCTACCGGTTCAGGACAGGCGTATTTTCTGCATAAAGGAATTATTACAACCACAGCCAGGGCTATTTTCGATATTCTATAAAATAAAATCAACTGACGAATGAAATATGGAAAATAAATGTAATAGGAATAAATATATATTGCTTAAAAAAATCCTTATATAAATAAGGTAACTATCTCACACATTGTATCTACCCATAAAACAGCAGTTGTTGTAAAATGCAGAAATTATTGAAAAAATAACCAATACGCGCAAACGCAAAACTAGAAATGAGAAGCGATCGTAGCCCGACTATGTCATGTTTTATCTGCTTTATCAAATAGTTTCGTGTGCATTGGGAATTTGTTATAAATGTTCTATGATATATTAAAAAAATATGGCTGTAATATAAACAAATATATCAATAAGCTTTTAATATAAATAAACCTAAATGTATGCATATTATTTACTTCTATCTACTAGTTTATCGCCAACGGAAAATATGCGTGTAAGATAAATTATATTTTAACGTATAATATACAATAACTAGTATCTATAAACGTTTAATTTATTGGTTAAAAAACGGTAAGTATAAAAATAGTAGTTGTTAAACGTTTAAAAAATCAACCAAGACGAAATTTAAATGGGAGTTTATAATGTTACATAAATTACTTATATGTATACGAATTAAAATTAAATAAACCTAAACGTATATTGAGGCACACTGTTTACAAATCGTTGATCACAAACTAAAAATAGTTGTATATCGTTATATTTAAACGTAGAATAATTTACAATTATACACCATAAGATGTATAGAAAAAACGTATAATATATCATTTAAAAACCGGTATGTTTAATAATCGTAAACTGTAAACGTATTCGGAATCAACCAATACCAAATATAAACGAGAATTGAGTAGAAAATATCTTAATTATACCAATGTGTGCTGCCTGGGCTAGTAAGAACACTACACGTATATTATAAAATCCATCATTTACAGTTTATATTTGGTCATCAGGCTACTATTATTTTTTTAAATTTTAAATAAGTGACAATTCTGTCAAATTAATTACTAGTATGTTTTTAGTTATTGAAATTAAATATAGTTTGAAATGAATTATTCTTAAATTATTCTGAAAAAAACGATAAATAATAGTATTTTACAAGATGTTCGTCTACAGTCCAAAACCTTGGTCGACCCTGTAGAAATAAATATTCAAATAATTACATCGTTGTAAAGACGATTAGAAGACCTTTCCAATGAGGTGTTTTGAGACACATGGTTGCATTTAAAAAAATTGCCGATTACGTCACCACGGTAATACTGGTGACGTAATGTTCGTTACATCTACATCATGTGATGACGATTCAAAAATTAAAATTGACCTGTTTTTGGATTTTTTTCAAAAGTCGATTATTTTAGAAATAATGAATTTATTCCATACATTAGCGACATACTGTATATTTACAAATAAATCATAAATTTCAATAAAACTCTATGAAGTCAATTTAATTATATGTATTAAAACTATAAAATTGGGTGTATCGATAGAGTTGTAGGTACCGTAATGAGTTGTCATGTAGAAGGTCCTGGGTTAAAATCTAGAATTGAAGATTAATTAAATAAAATCTATTTGTTTCAAGTTTATTTTATTTTATAAATTAGTAAAAGTCATAAATTATTTTGAAATTACATATTTTATGTTAATTAACTAAAATAATTTTTAAATTTTTAAAATTGTTTATTTATTTATTTTTTTTTTTTTTTTTTGAAAACACAACATGATCCTGAAATTAAGCGTTTTATGCGTTTTATGCGTTTTATGCGTTTTTCCTCGAAACTCATTTTAAACTAATATATCTCTTTTTGGCTTAGAAGAGCAGATAAATATATAACAATAAAGAATTTTTCGTAAATTTGCCTATAGCATAACGTTCGCTTAGCATCCAAATTGGACCGCACTAACAGCACATAATATGGCGAAAATTAATAGTTACGGAATAAAAGGAAAGAACGCGTGTAGAGCACACGAACGAAATACGACGCACGGTTCGCTTCCTTCACAAGAAAGATCTGATAAGTTTTGCGCTTTTTCTTTCTACTAACACATAAATTTCCATTTCAAACGACCTGCGTCCCAACCAACTAACAACAGCGTTAATGTGATATCATAACCATCAAAAGCGTGCACATCATGTTAGCTTATTTTCTTGGTAGACTAAAAATGAAGAATGCAACAGTTTTTTTACAAAATTAAATATTTTAAAGTAGTTTTAATATTCCATTGGATTCTTAATATGGATTGAGAAAGGGAAGCTCAGCAGAAGATGAACTGTATAAATTAATATCAGAAATATAAAGGGTGGTCCAACTAAAACGTACGATGTTAATTGTAAATAAAACATAAAGTTTTCAGAGAATTAGGTTAATATTTTTTATTATGATAGAAGGCTATATGACAATTATTATGTGTGAAACAAAATATCGGCCAAATGCTTGCCACGGCTTCGGTGGCATACCTCTATCCGATGGTCCATATTTTTAATGACTCTGAGATATAATTGAGGTTCAATGTCGTTAATCTGCCAAATTATCTCATCCTTTAGCTCTTGAATTGTTCTTGGCTTATTGGCGTACACTTTTTCTTTTAAGTATCCCCAAAGAAAGAATTCCAACGTTGTCAAATCACATGATCGTGGCGGCCAATTAACATCGCCACGACGTGAGATAACACGGCCGTTGATTTTCTCGCGCAAAAGAGCCATTGTTTCGTTGGCTATGTGGCAAGTGGCACCATCCTGTTGGGACCACATATCGTCCAGTTCCATATCCTCAATTTCTGGCCACAAGAAGTCGCGATAGCGAACACCATTCACAGTAACTGCTTGGCCGACCTCATTTCCGAAGAACTACAGCCCGATGACGCCGCCAGCCCATAAACCGAACCAAACAGTCACTATTTTGTGGATGCATCAACTTTTCAACAATCACTCGTGGATTGTCATTTGCCCAAATGTGGCAATTCTGCTTGTTAACGAATCCACTGAGGTAAAAGTGTGCCTCGTCGCTGAAGATGATTTTCTTCGTAAAGTCGCCATTCAGTTTTGTTTGTTCAACCAACCATTCGGCATATTGACGACGCTTGAAATGGTCAGTAAGCTTCAGCTCTTGAGTCAATTGAATCTTGTAAGCGTGTAAATTCAAATCTTTATTCAAAATTCGCATCAGTAATGTTCGTGAGATTTTCAACTGTTGAGCACGACGAAAAGTCGAGGTTGACGGCTCTTCTGCCACACTATCGCAAACAAAAGCAATGTTTTCCGCAGAACGAACTGGGCGAGCATGCACAGGTGTTTTCACATTTTCTACAGACCCGGTTTGCTGAAATTTGTGCACAATTCTCCCGATTGTGGACACATTTTGTCGATTATGCTGACCAAAAAAATCACGAACTGCACGAAATGCATTTTGATTTGAACGCCCATTTTCGTAAAAGGCTTTAACAATCTTAACGCGCTGCTCAATTGTGTATCTCTCCATGGTTAAATTTTTCAAACACTGAAACACAGAAATGTCAAATTAGGTTGGGCAAGAAACTTAACGTTAAGGTGTGACGCACAATCATCGTGCATTATGGTTGGACCACCCTTTATAAAGCAACAGATAAAAAATCAGCTTATTCTTGAATCTCTTTAGAAAGCTTAACAATTAACGTACACATAAAAAACATCCAAGAAGTTTTTCAAATAAGTAAATCTGTTATCTTTGGAGTTACTCAACGAATAGTACTTAGTCCAACTATTTTTACAATTAACACCAATTTACATCAAAAATATATGTAGAACTAGTAAATAAATTCAGTATATTCTTGAATTTCTTTAGAGAATTTGATACCGTGAGTTCCAAAATTCTGTTAACAAAGCTTCATAGCTAGCTTTTAAAGGGTTTACTTAAATTGTAACCGTCCGCCCCCCGGTCGCTTCTTATTTTTTTTAATGGCCTTCGAGTATGTACTCACATAGCCAGATACACGAATTGAGTTTGTCGACTTAACCTATACAATATTACATCAGGATGGGATAAGGGTAACTCATTTTACACCCAGGGATCATTCAAGGTGACTTTATTACACTGGGGAAGGTAGACCTCAGAAAGGAAGGAATACGGGTTTATAAATCCAGGATAGATAACAAAGGAACCAATATTTACAAATTTAGGTTACAAGAATTGACAAAATCCAGAAGGGCGTTAAAAACTGAGAGATTATTTAGAGACAGCAAGTGCATCAAATTATAGGGTGAAGCTATTTTATGACTAATAATTTTTTCATTTAGTAAGTGACGTTGTGCTTGATATTTTTTACAGTTGAAAAAAATATGATCCAGATCACATATCTTATGTCGCAAAATTTAA